CTGCTAGCCTTACTTACTTTCTTAAACATGACTACCCTCACAATGGGGTGCCCCACAAATGGGTTTGACCACCGCGGAACGAATCACCATCCGGTGTCAAACTACGGCGTGACTACCGCGGAACGTATCACCATCCGGTAGCACACCTAAATCTAAGCAATGGAAACCGCGGAACTTATCACCGTCCGGCTCCAAGCCTGACCAACTACCGCGGAACGTATCACCATCCGGTAGTGATCAACTACCGCGGAACTTATCACCGTCCGGTAGGGGTCTGTCCAGCTAGTGGCTAGCTAAGCGAGGTTATTTATCTTTACTCGTGACTTTGTCTTACTCTTAACGCCATAACTTAGTAAACGATGAAGCATTAAAAATACTCGTTCTTAACCGTCGTAAAAACATGAACTCAAATTATTAAACGTAGATATTGAAATGCTCTAAACAATAACTCAAATCGAAGCATGCATAATCAACACAATCATAAATCAAACAGTACACACACACACTTCACGTAAAGCAAATACTTGAACATGTAAGGCGTAGAATTTACCCCCTTTACACTCACCTCGAAAACAGATGATTCTCAACCTCTTAGTCAATGAACCCTAGTCAACAGTACCTCAAGAACCTATAATCCGAAAATATACTAACCCTTAGTTGGTAATCCTCCAACTTAGCTCTTTCAAAGTAACATTTTTCCGTCCTCCTAGCTTAGTCCCAAAATTCATTAAAAAGACCCTTAAACTCTTTGAAACAATTTTTCTCAAACACTGGAAATCTTTCCCCAAATTCACAAGACTTAACCCCTTACTAATAACATAAAATCCATTACAGAAATTCTAACTTTGGATAATTCAAAACATAAACCAAAATTATTAACTATTATTTACACCATAATGAACCCCTTCTTCCTATTGACTTATAATATAAATAAATTTAATATCTAAATCACCAACGTCTAAAATTCCGGTTCCTAATTTTAAAATGAACTACCATGATTCTAGTTTAAAAAAAAATGTTAACAAATTAATAAAACCCACGAACAGTAATTTAATAAATTAAAAGTAACATCTTATCAATTTTTAAAATTGCCAAACCGACTCTAAAAATCATCAAATAATTCCTAGATAATTATGCTAGTATCTTATTTCTATAAAAATTATCAAATGTATAATATTCGCTCGCACAGTAATTTATTTACTTAAAACCGACTTTATAACTATTTTAAATATTATAAAAACAACTCCAAAAATTCTCCGATTAATACCCAGACATCCTATTGATTTTATACTATTTATAAAATTACCACACCACGAAAATATAAACTTTAAAGCAACTAACATAATAATAAGCTTGATAAAATACTATCTTTCGCCCATTGTCAGTTTCAAAACAGTAGGGACTAAGCTGATCAACCTGATACTATGGAGGGCTGATCCGGATATTTTCTCGCAGACTGAAACAGAATTGCCATCACAGTACTTATACTTTTCGAATTTACGACATTAATACCTGAACTATTAGATTTGCGCCCCAATTCTCAGGACTCATATCTCCCTCGTCCGACTTCGAAACTCAATTCCGACTAAACCGGAGTGCTCCTGGGATCGCCCTCTCCGCGATGATGCCAAGATCTTGAAGTTTAGTTGAAGTCTACCACGCCGGGAACACCGTCGAAGCTACGCTCATCATGGGGTTTGTCGGGTTAATCGCGGTTTAAACGAGCTAAAAAAGGATTGAGGTCGAGGCTCTTACCTATCGGACCTACGAGAAGGGATGGCTGAGTGCTTTTGTTGAGCAGAAGGGAATCATTCCAAGCTTGGCGTCGCTCAGAGCTCGCGCGGAGGGACTGGCTGGTGTTGTTTGATCGAAGGAGAGGAGAGAGGTACGGCCGCTTGACTTTGCTGTAGAATCCTCCTAGGTTTTTGGTTTCTTCATTAGCTGTAGGGTGAGGGTAAATAATGGGGAGGTCGAGTGAAACTAGGGCTGGGGGTTACAGAAAATTATTAGGACTTTTAATGGGAGATAATTTGTGAGAGTGGGTTACGGAATGAGAGTGGGGTTTTTATACTTCTATTATTATTTATTTTTTTTCTTCTCTTCCGTTCCTAATGGGGGAGACGTGGGGGTTGGATGATGATTGATGATAATAATAACATTAACATTAGTTATTAATGTTATTATTATTATTTCTAATTTAAGGTTTCCATCCTTCGTACGTAAACGTCGATCCAACCGATCACGTATTATGGTCAAACCATAACCCAAAATTCGGGGTGTTACAAAAACAAGGTAACTTGCAGGCCAAGAAACTGACTTAAAACACAAGCAAGTCTGCTTAGGAAAACAGGCTTCATAGCATCTTTGAGCCCGTCGGAAATGGTCTTCTAATTTGATTCGAACTCAAAAAATTCCTTTCCTTTGTAGAAGAAAACTTCCTCTTCCACCTCCAACTTGAATCAGCCCGATATCATGCTCCAATCTCCAGATATAGGCCTTCAATGTTGGTATCTCAACACAGTTTTCTGCCTTGGCCATTTTCTGACAGTTTTCCAGTTTTGAGGTAGCAACTTTGAGGCTTTGAAAAACAACCTTAATGACATATTCTGGATACAAAAAGCATACCATTGGAAAGATGGAAACTTTATCTGCAAAACAAACTATCAAACTTGAATTTCCACCAAGCCAATTAAGAGAATCATGCCTCCAAAATATGTACCTTGGACATGGATTTTGACTTAGCCAAATTCTGCCCTTCTTTTCCCAACTTCGTCAGCTTCTTCATCAAGTAATTTTTGGCTCGTTGATTAACCGATTTGGAATCATATCAAGGAAAGGATTTTGTCTTGGGCAGCTAAGGAGACTCTGATTAAATCAGTGGCCTTAGCTCTGCCGTTGCATGTTATGTCTTGCTTCAAACTTCCTCTTTCTCTTTGTCGCCTGTTGGACAAGCTTGTGGCTAGGTTCTGGTGGGGGTTGAGGAAAGCCATTCGAGGATTTGATGGATGTCAATGTCATGGCGGAATATGTGCAGAAGCAAACATGACGGGGAATGGGTTTACGTCGGTTTGAGCATTTTAACCAGGCACTCTTGGCCAAAGTTGGATGGCGTATCCTCAATGACCCTACTTCTTTATTATCCCAGGTGTATAAGGTGAAATATTTTCCGCATGAAACATTCCTAGATGCTACTGCGCGCTCTCGACCATCTTGGGGGTGGCAGAGTATTCTTTAGGGGCATCTCTGCTTTATTCCAATTGGATTCCTCGCTTACACCCTAACCCACCCTCTGATGTGTAACCCCCAGGTACCACCCGAGGGTGGAGACCTGCCGGTAGCAGAGGTTATTTGCCAAGGGGAGGGACGTTGGTGTGACCAAAAACTTAGTTAGTGGTTTGACCCGGCAACTTGTGGTGCCATATCGATTTCTATATCACGTACAGGGGGGTCAGATAGATTGATCTAGCATGGTACGGTTGACGGGGTTTTTACGGTTAAATCGGCCTATTATTTTGTTGTCTTGTTAGATAAGCAGGATGGTCGATGGAGATCCATAGCTAGTTGGATGGATAGACCCAGCTGGATCCGATTGTGGACATCAAATATTTCACCCAAAATGAAAGTTTTTATTTGGCAAATTTTCAACCGTGTCCTGCCGACTACGGAGGCCCTAATCGAGAAAGATGTCCAGCTGCTTCCCCCGGTGTCCGGTTTGTTGGGCGGATTTGGAGAAAATGGAACATTTGTTTCTTGATTGCCTAGTGGCTAGGGCTTTGTGGGATCATTCGGGGCTCGAATATCTGGGTCAAAGATTGCCTCGTCACACTTTCCCTCTCTTTTTAAAGAAATTGATGTTACTCATTAGTCAACCTCAATTATTCATGTCAGTTGTGGCGGTCCTGTGGAGGATTTGGCGGTAACGAAACTAGGTTGTTTTTTTAAGGCAAACAGTTTGGTATCCTGGCTCTAATTCGTCAATTCCACCAACAATGTCAGGAATGGATTAGTTTGCCAGTTGAAGCTAGTCTACAAATATCCAACCCTCCTTCTCCGCCTCTCGGTGCTACTCCTCTCAATGTAGTAGTCTGTACGTGGGATGGGGCGACTAGGTGTGCTCTCATTCTGCTGGTGGGATGATTAATCTAAATCAAGATGGGGATGTCCTTTTGGTTAAAAGGATACAATTTTCGATGTTTGATGATCCTATGGTTGTGGAGCTGCTTGTTTTTTGGGAGGCTATTCTCTGGTGTCTAAGTCAGGGATTTATGGAGACAAGGTTTGAAGACGATGTCAAGGTCATCATTGATAAAATTAATAGGGCTGGTACCCGGAATAACCGGATGGGGGCAGTTCTTGAGGAGGTTGTGCATTGTTTCGCAAGTCATAGTGGGCTTAGTGTGCGATTTGTAGGTCCTCGTAACAATAGGGTAGCCGATTTGGTGGCTAGGAAGGCCCTTTGTTTGTACCCGACTGCAAGTCGCTTATTTGTTTTTCGTGCCTCGCTTAATTCCAGGATGTAATTGTCTATTCTTCTAATCAATATATATGATTATCTTTTGTAAAAAAAAAAAGTCTTAATCATCGATGCCGAATAGTCTCAGACTGAATCTGTGATCTTTAGCCTTCAAAATCCACGAAAAATGACCTTTCGGAATAAGGGCCCTAAAATTCCAAAAAAATCTGCAAAAACTGCGTTTAATAGACTTCATCATCAGTGGAGAATAGTCTCAAGACAAATCTGTGATCATAGCCTTCAAAATCAAAGGAAAATGGTATTTCTAAAAAATTGCCTGAAATCTATGATGGCACTCCTTTGGAATAAGCTAAAAGTGGACCCGGAAAAAATTCGCTCAAATCGGTGCTTAATAAACTCAATCATTAGTGCAAAATAGCCTCAGGCCGAATTCGTGATATATAGCCTTTAAAATCCAGAAAAATGACTTTTCAAAAAAAAGTGCACAAAACTACGATAATACCCTCTGAAAAAATTCATAAAAAACAAGGCTTAATAGATTTTATTTTCGATGGAGAATAGCGCCTCAGGCCGAATTCGTGATCATTGCCTCCGAAATCCCGGGAAAATGGTCTTCCGGAAAAAAAATCGCATGAATTCTGTTATGGTAGCCAAATTAAATAAATTGTTTCGATAAAGATGAATTTAGATAATCAACTTAAAAGGATACAATTTCGATAAAGATGATCATTCCCATCCTCCAATAACTACTGTCGTGCTTCCTATTCGAAATTTTGAAGAATTATATTATCTTCATAATACACCTACAATATGTCAAACTCGATTGAAGTTTGAGAGCAAATGGAAGAAATGTGGCCTCCTAGAATAATCGAGTAAAAAAAAAAACCTTCGGAGTACCTGACAAATGATCCTTCATTGTGGTCCGATTACACCCATGATCTAACTTCAAACATTGTGACCAAGAGGATGATACATTTCGCGTCCCTGTCATCTTAGCCGGAAAAGATTGCTCAAATCAATTTCGCCCATACCCCTACTTGTATTTGAGGTTCCTGCCAATGCCACAACAAGCGAACTTTCATCCTTTAGCAACTTTCTCTCACTCTTTTTCTGGCATGTTTCCATGAAACCGATCGAAAACCGTACCAAAAACGTCGGCGGTATAATATCTTGTGGAAAAATCGTAGTTTAACTATTGTTTAACCGTTAAATACCGTGATCGTCTAATAGTTTAGCCTCCAATATTAATATTTTGTGATTGAACGCCCGGTACGGTACGATTTGAGAAATCTATGTTGTCCCAACAGAAACAAAACGGTAATCTTTATTTAGCGCCTTCAATTTAGCATCAGAAAACTTTGTTAGTAGAGGTCAAATATCTAATCTGCAACCCAAATAGCATCTCTCCCTCGTGCGCTGATTTTTTCTAATTCTGCACTCTCTCTACTGCTAGTTTTAATCAATATGCCCATTTATGTGCACGTGATTCGAAAGTTTTGCTTCCTGCCATCACTTGTCTGTTGACACTGTCAATACACCGAGAAAAATAATCCCACCCTTTTAGTTGATTAATTTATAGTCTTATGGGTGGTAGGTAGTGATTAGTTAGTTGCTTAGTTTGATCCTTTCAAAATTAGTAATTGTTGAATGAAGATGTGACCGGTAACAATTATTAACAAACAAACAAATCAAGCCGGGATAAGGGGACCGGGGATTAGAAATTACGAAAAAGCGAGTGATTGTTACTTGCTTCCAAGTGCCGTTGTAATCAAACAAAAATTTACTGTCCAAGTTAGGGCTGAAAGTTTGGTTTTCGGATTACGGATAACTCACAAAGCGCATCAAACTTCACATATTGTGGGGTAATCATACTTATAATTTGTGGATAGTAATGTGGTTAGGAGAATTATATTTTTTTTATCAGTGGTTCAGTTACAAAACTCACTATAGTCACATTAGACTAATAACCTTTTGATTTATCTCTAAGTTCACAACACCTATTAATAAGGAGGAATGACCAATTTTGTAACATTATAAAATAATTCACTACTTAACGTGAGATTAATTTGCATTTTGTAAAGCAAACACTTTCTCTCTTTCTCATTTCTTCAGTCCAAAAGTTGAATCCCAAACTCGAAAAGAAAAATGGCTCACACCGAGTAAGATATGCAAAAATTGCATCTCTATGAGCAAACACAAAAAGTACATCACTATAGTTTAGTAGAAAATAGCGGATTCGTTCCAGTCGATTGCAGCTCCACACCTTGAAGGATGAACTTTTGCGGGTAGCCACAACCAAAACGCAATGACTACGATAGTGATCAACCACCAACCAATGCAGTTTAATTAGAATAATCACAACTTTATGGTTGTGCTTAACCACAAACACTCGCACCAATTTGACACCCCTAATCTCGGTTACTCTATCTAATGTCAGATAATAAGAAAATAGAAACGATGTTTGTCGTAGACTGCCAACCTGCCTGCCTAGCGCATAAACGACTAATTGATTATGATGAAATCTGACGAATGGCGTTATAGACAAATACCCCAAATGGATAATTCACTTGGAAATTCAAGCATTTGAAATTCAAGCATTTCAGAGAAGGGGTAAGGAATTGAAAATGATGGGCAAATACGTGTAAGGCACAAGAAGAGAGAGCATTCAGAGAGTGACCAAAACGCAGAAAACCCATGTTTTTTACAATACACCTATCGCACGACAAAGAGAGATAGATGTCTTCAATTTATTGCGGGAATGGGCTTCGCCCCTCTACCAAAACGTACGTCGCCAGTACTACTTTACTACCACTGGCCCAGCAGCAGCGATATTGCTTAGCTGCGAATCTCCAAACATGGCTTCTTTGCTGCCACCATTCCTATACAGTACACACGCAAAATGAAACTCCCAACAACACCCCCAAATCTCACCTACATGACTTCAATACACACATCCTCCACCTGAGACAACCATTAATGGACAGCACAATCAACAATGGTAGTAAAAGCTTCAGCACTAACTGTGTCCATTGGATATATGAAGAATGGCAGAAAGAACAACCCAGTTAACACAATCTGATAACAGTTCCATTTCAGTACAAAACTTGAAAGAAAAATGAGAGATGGGTTTTGAGCATTCCTCGAATAACCTTCACCAGAGTTTTACAGCAACCATTACTCTGGTGAGGAAGACTTTAAAAGACTGGAATACACCCATTTGGGACGGCTTTTACAGCACCAGCAAAACCCTCAAGGATCAATTCCCCCATCTCCTCAACCAGACAAAACTAGACAGTAATTAAAACAAAACTCACTCCGCCAAAAACCATTCTCAGAAAAGAACACCACAATGCTTGCTTTGCTCATCAAGCAGTGTTCTTGAGATCCTCACTCTGCCTAGTACAGAACTCTTCCTTCTTTTTTTGTCTTTCAACGAATACATAAATAATAATTGGATTTGACATACCAAAATTAAACCGAACATGTAAAACTCACTAGCTGCAAAACTTATAGGCAAGCGATATTGAGGGGTTGTTGTTGCTGTTGTTGTTGCTGCTGTTGATGATCATCCAGGTAAGCGAACTCCTCACTGTCGAACTCAAAATCATAATCGGGAAGCTCAGTTGGTAGCATTTCTCCTCCTTCGAAGTCAAACCCGAGGAAGTCAAGCTCATCCCCAATGCCACAGTAATCATCATACATCCTGCCAAACTCATCGATTAGGCTGGTGAAATCAACACCCAAGTCGAGATCTTGATCGACCACAGGACAAGCAGACCCCAACGCCTCGTCAATGAAGCTCAAATCAGGTATCTCCAGGTCTTCAACAGTAAGAGCAGCAGCCTGTAAACCTTCTTCCTCGACAATGTCAAAGCACTCTTCCTTGCTAAAATCACAGTTCAGCGCTGACACTGCACAGTTGTCCACCTCGAGAACAGATGCTGGTGAAGTATGGGAGGAGACAAGGCTCTCAGAGTCATTGCCGTTGGTAGAGCAACAAGGTAGATGGCTCTTGCTGGTAGAGGGCGAGACAGCAGTACGAGCAGCAGAGGAAGACTGAGGCACCATGTTGTTGACGCTTTTCTGGTGGTCTTCCGAGGGGAACGAGGCATCGTACTCTCGCTTCTTGTCCTCGTACGCCTGAGCAGCCTCTTCAAGAGAGGCGAAAGTACCGAGCCATACCCTGGATCTGGTGTGTGGGTTCCTTATCTCAGCAGCCCATTTCCCCCATTTCCTCAGCCTAACACCAACAGGCTTCTTGGGTCCTTTGGATGACGATGGAGTGGTGGCCAAAACATTTCTCCTCCTGATGGGGTTTTTGCCACTGTAATCGTTGCTGTTGCTGTCTTGAGAGGAAGATTCCTGCAGCTGCTGCTCAACAGTGCTCTGTGAGAGGGATAAACCAATCGGAGGGACACAAATCTCACGGACGAAACACTTGGATTTTTTTTTCGGAGCTGGAACAGGGCACCTGAATTCATCATCGCTGGAATCGGTATCAGTAGCATATGGATCTTGATATATGACCCGGACTTTCCGTACCCTTGACTCCATCGAGTCTTGAGAAGGTGAGGAGGAGTTGGCAATGACTCTCTGCAAGGGCTCCGGCGAGCTCATCGGCTGTTGTTCTACCAGCTCCGGCATGGTAAATCTCAGAATCACTCGCCAAAACCCCTCAATAAACCCAGAAAAGAATTCGATCTCCCAAACCAAATCAGAGTAGTAAAAATCTCAGGGTAAGACGCAGTAGATAGTAATTAGAGAAAAGAGAGAGAGAAAGAAGGGTTTAAGGGTTGACGGAGAAGAAGAAGAAGAGGGGTAATCAAGTGAGACCCCCTCTCAAGAACAAGAATAAGTGAGAAAATCGATTTATGTGAAAACCCCCAAAGCACTCCACAATACCAGAAGAAGTCCTGCAAAAAATAAACAAAGGAAAAGTCCGCCGGTCAGGCATTCCATCGAACAACCTCATCTTTAACGCTAAACCCATTACAGATTTCCACAAAGAACAGTACAGAGAAAGAGACGGAGTGTGAAAAGCATACCGTTTTGGCCTCAAACGCATCGAATCAACCGAGGACCTCGGCGCCGTTCTCTGCTGGGGACAGCAGAGTTGTATGAAGCGGGGACGGCAGCAGCGGCTGGGACCGGCAACGGCGGAGGAAAGTGAGCTGACGACGACGGAAACAATCACTTTTGCAGAAGCAGAAATCGAAATACAAGAGAGCTTCAACGGAGCCCCAATCACAGCCAAATTAAACCCAGCCGACATAAATCCCACGGCTCCTGAACAACGGAGAGCTGTCTTCCTGCTCTTTCTTCCTCCTCGTTTCCCTTCAAGGAGAGGAAAGACCCAAAACGATAAGCCTAACAAGATAGATAGGTGTGAAGCGCAGAAGGCGAGAGAGCAGAGGAAGGAGAGAGAGCAAGCAGAGAGGCCAGAAGGGGCGTTACTAAACTCCCAAAAACCCTATTTATAAAAAAAAAAACAAAGGATCACAAATCTATGGCCGAGATTTTTTCTCCCTCCCCCTACCCTTCTTCCCCAGAGACAAACCCGATCTGTAAAAACCAAAGAATCAAAAAAGGTGGAGACTAGAGAGGGAGAGAGAGAGAAATGGCCGGTCTTTGTTAGTATTTTTTTTTTACACTGCAACAGTGAAATTTCCACAATGAACTTTCGCCTTTCCCCAAAACCCCACACCACCCACTGACCAGAAGACGCAAATCTCTATAGAAACACCATAGAAATTATCAAATTGGAAAGAAAACAAACGAACAAACAACAAAAACTCCACACAATAAACAAATTATCAGTCATATTTTAAAAACACAAATTTTCCCGAGAAAAGGAAAAACTAAAAGAGCAGACGTTTTCTTACTGCGAAATCGGTACCTCTTTTCTTCTTCCTCCTGTCGCTGTCCTTCTCTCTCTTCTTGCTCTGTGTTTCTTTCTTGCTCTTGCTCTCACTCTGTTCCTCTCTCTCTCTCGCTCTGTGTCAGTCGCTCTTTATTTATTGTAGCGCTCTACAAGGCCATTCACCTGCCGAGCCTTTCGGTCAAAATTTTCTGGGTTAAAAAGGGGAAAGACAGAAAGAAAAAGGAAGATAGAGAAGCGGTTCGCCCAAAAAAGCATTAACTCGGTGGAAATTTTATTAATTAGTTTTACCTAATTTTCACATAAATTACTGGGGAAAAAAATAATCTGTCCGTTATTTTTTCCGCTGGAAAATTCATTTTCTAGCTTTGTAACTGAACCGATTAAAAAATGGAACAGCTAGGGGATGATGATATTGATAACGATTAAGGTTTCAATGTAAACATTTATCATCTAAAAATGAAAAAATATATATGTTTTTGTAAAAAAGATTAAATAAATTGGGAGATTTCACTCGGGGGAGGGAAAGAAAAAGGAAAGAGGAACTGGTGATGAGCTGGCAATGGGATGGCCGTTTCGAATCCATATGGTCATACATGGACCATGATCCCCATTGGGCCATGTCACCATGGCTGCTTCTCACCACTAACTCATGCATAATGGGCCGGGCCGGCGGCTCGCTATTCCCATTGCTTGGTGACAACGTTTGTGTGGGCCCACCACCCACTAATCCCAGTTTCACGCCTTGACGTGCCTTCCTGCGCGTCGTTTTCACGGCAGCCTGGCCGGATGGTTGTTGTTTCGACATTTTCAAGGGACGCGTGGAGGAAGGTTTTTCAGTTGTCAGACTATTTTTATGACGCTGCGGCGCGAGTAGGTTGGTGTTTCTTTTTTTCTTGCCTCTCTTTTTGACTTTTTTTTTAGTTTTTTATTTTATTTCTTCATATGTTGTTTATTTTGGGGTCGGGTTCTTGATTTATTTACATTGCTGCCACTGAAGTGTCTTCTTCCCGAATTAACCTTCCCGTGAAGTGGGCTCTACCCTCCCGCCTCGGTCCCAGACCGAGCCTCTGCGAAAGAGGGGGAAAAAAGCTGAAGAAAATAGTAAAAAGGGGGCAAAATAAAATAATTAGAATTTCCTCTTTTTTCTGAGATTCGTTGGCAATCGCACAAGAAAGAAAAATTGAATTTTGATTCGTCGAAGAAGAGCAAATCGCGGCCAGTACGGAATTTTTATTCTCTTTCCCAAATTCTTTTCACCGTCAATCGACAATCGTTATCCGGGTTAATTTCCTAAATATTGTTTCTTTTTTAATTTACCACGTATATTGTGTTTTTAAAAGTATTTACAACAATATTGTGTTTTGATGGAGGGAAAGTGGCGACGGCGCCCGAGACTCAGCAAATAGGGTTTTTAAAGGTAAAGACAGCGGCGGCGCCCCAGTCTCAAGCTTTGGCGCTATTTGAAATTATTTTTAAATTTCAAATAGCGCCAAAGCTTGAGACTGGGGCGCCGTCGCTGGTTTCCTTTGTTTTTTTAATTCCCCTCCTCCCCTCTCGCACAGACCAATCCTTCCCTCCCTCCATCCACCTCCTTCGTCCTCCTCCATCATCCCGACCCCTCCTTCACCCACCCTACCAGCGCCGACGCCGAGAACTGAGCGGCAGCGCCTCAGACCCAGCGCCGACGCCGAGACCAGAGCGACAGCGCCTAAGACACAGGCGGCGGCGCGAAGAAGTAAGCGAGAGCGCCGCGGGATGTCCGACGACGAGCAGCAGGCCCCCGGCGGCAGAGGAAGAGGCCGAGGGCGGCGAGGGCGGCGTGGCGGCGGCGGCGAACGGTACAGGGGTAAGTCGAAACGGCGGCGGCCGGATTCTCGCCGGCGGCCACTTTTTCCGGCGACATTTTTTTTTATGTTCTAATATTTTTTTTCCAGTTCCTAGGCTTATCGATCCTTGTTCGATGAGACCACCACCTGCGACGATCGATACTGCTCCGATGGATCCGGAACTTCTTTGGGGGCATGGTCACCATCGGATTGACGCAGTTTGGGCAAATGAGGTAAGTTTTTTTCAAACTATTTCTATAGTTTTATTAGCCGAATAACATGATAGAATAGAATAGAATTAAATTAAATTACGATTGGAATTAAATTAAATTAGGAATAGAATTAGATTAAGTTACGATTATATTATATTAGAAAAAGTTTAGTTTAGATATATAAATATAAATATTAGATGAATGGAAGGTATTGAATTAATATAGTTTTGTGCATTAATTATAGGCTGGTGATCGACCATTCCACATTCGTCATACTGGAAATTTAGTTCGATACAATCCATTGTACCTGCCGTATCTCGTTGATGCCGGCCTGTCTAGTGTTCTGCCACTAGCTCCTCTTACCGGTGATCCGGGTTTGATTACTGCGCTCGTAGAGCGTTGGCGACCCGAGACATCGACATTTCACATGCCGTTCGGTGAGGTGACGATCACCCTAGAGGACGTTGCCACGCTCACCGGATTAGCGATCGACGGTGATGCCGTCGTAGTAGACATACCCGACGAGGATTGGTCGAGTATGTGTCTTCGACTGTTAGGACAGGCTCCTACTGATCTTGCTGGCGGCGTCATCCGGATTTCTTGGCTGAGGGAGACTTTCGATGAGCTGCCGCTTTCTGCATCACCCCAGACGACAGAGCAGTTTGCAAGAGCGTATGCGCTATCTCTGATGGGAGGTGTCTTGTTCTCCGATCGGTCTGGAGGTTCAGTCCACCTGCAGTACCTACTTTTGGTGGAGGATTGGGACAGAGCGGGAAGGTTTACTTGGGGAGCAGCTGTGTTGTCCTACTTGTACCGTGAGATGGGTAGATCGGCGCTGCAGATGACGGCATCTTCTTCACTGGGTGGTGACTTTGGTGGATGGGCCGCCTTGCTGATGATCTGGACGTGGGAGCGGTTTCCTAATACATCACCACTACATGCGGTGACGGGTGAGCAGATTACTCAGGACGCAGTGCCACGTGTCCTTCGGTGGCTTCCGGCCCACACCTGTCAGCATGGAGATCAGTTCTACTTGTACAAGTTGTGATTTGACGAGTGCACGACATTCGTGGTTAGTATATATCATTTCGTTTTATAGAATAGTTTTAATTGATTTGTTATAGATTTAGGAGTAATTATATGACCAATCCTTGTGTGTAGTGGCGTCCGTACTATCATAGAGGTGTGGACTACAGCGGTACTGTGGTCCAGTCCCACACGTTTCGAGCAGTTGTTCCGTTGATCTGCTTCTCATCGCAGATGTGGCATCATCTAGATCGCGTGCTCGGACAGTTTGGGATGAGACAGGATCGGCTTCATCCTCTACATTCCGCGGCTGAGATTAGATTTTTTTCTTCGTCAGGGACAGCATGGGCCTTCACGTGGACAGCAGTTCATACAGGCAGCCAGCGAGTCGATTGAGCTGTGGGACCGTCGACATGAGTTGGTAGCGCAGACGAGCTACGCTGACGAAGAATTAGCTTACCACTCGGAGCATCAAGAGTGGTACAGAGATGTCACTAGACGTTCAGGCACACGGAGAGTTGCTGCACTGAACGCAGCGGTGAGTTTTTTTAGTAATTAAAATTTGTGTTTTAATTGTTTTTAGATGTCTAGAATTTCTGATATTTTCCATTTAAATTTGCAGTACCACTGCATGGAGTACGTTCAGCAGGGTTTACGTGATGGGATGAGATAAGGAGGGCTATCATACGACCAGATGGGGGAGTATGTTGACCAGTTGGCGGCAGGGGTTACAGTTTTAGGTTTTAGTGGTCGCCAACATCCTGATACAGAGCCGATACAGCGGTACCCCGATGAGCGCAGCTTAGCTAGCTGGCCAGAGCGTAGGACTCAGTCATCGGCCTGGGGCGTGCCACCGCCACAGTTCACAGAGGAGCCCAGGAGGAGGAGACAGCGACGTGAGCAGCGTGAAGTACCTCGAAGAGTGAGGTACTCAGATCGTCAGCCCGTCAGACCTACATCGACCTTCACATTCCAGCCAGTCAGTCTGCAACTTCAGGATCAGGACTTCCAGACATCTCATTGGGCATATGAGCAGCAGCGACGAGAGGGTGCACCGGATGAGCATGTTCAGTCTCAAGTAGATGATATGTTCGGCACACAGGATCAGGATGATGGGACGGAGAGAGATGAGCAGTTGCCTCCACGAGACAGGAGGCCAGCGAGGTGTAGTACTAGCGGCCATCTAGTGGCAGAGCACGGTGGTCGGCGTGGTGGTCGGCGTGGTGATTGAGGACTATTTATTGTTATGTTATTATGTACTTCCTTGAGACTATTATTATGTTCTTTGTGACTATGCATTATTATTATGTACTTCCTTGAGACTATTTATTGTTATGTACTTATTTTGGACTATTTTTAATTTGATGTTCTTAGTGCTATTGTCTAAATTGAGACTTTAAATATAAAACCAACAAACATCAACAACTAGTTCAGTTCATAAAAATCCAAACAACAACCTCAAACAACAACAACTTCAAATAACAACTCCAAACAACAATTTCAAACAACAACAACTCCAAATAACAACTTCAAACAACAACAACTTCTGCGAGATAAATCGAAAGAAAAACAACAACTGCTACATTCGAACTAACTTCTCAGCCACGTCTATTCCCTCTACTTCCTCCTCTTCTACCACCTCTCGCACTTCGTTGGCCACCACTCCCTCTTCGGTTGCTCCCACTCCCACTTGCTTGGCCACCACAGGTTGATGCATTATGTCCCGCTTGGTTACAGTTGCTACACACTTGCTGTGATGAACCCTCCCTTGGCCAATCCATCTCGTTATGAATTCGTGTTGATCTTGGCCTCCCCGGCTTTCTAATCATGTCCATATTAGGATGGAGAGTAGGGTCATTATGCTTCTTCCAACCCTTAGGTTCACCAAGAGGTGCGAAACTTGTCCCATAACAAGCCATCACTGTTTCCAGCTTGTAGACATTGTTGACAAACCTATACGCATTAATACCCATTCGGTTGCAAGCTGCAATGACATGAGAGCAAGGAATTTTATTTCCTTGAAATTTACCACAGGTGCAAAATCCCGTCCGGTTGGGGTCGTCAAAGTGCACTGTGAGTGTGTTTGACCCCGTCATGTTGAAA